GCCTCCCCCGCCGCGGCTCCAAGCCCGAGTTCCTAGCAGGACCTCGACGAAACTCACTTGTGCCCTTGGTCTTTTTTGAGAGGGTTTTATGTCCTTTAAGAGGCCTGAGAGTGCCAGGGAGCTTTGTAGCTTTTCAGCAGGTTTGAAACTCTTGGGGCTCTTTCCTTGGAGCTTGTGCTGCGTTCTTCTTCTTCTTCTTATGCAAAATATTCCGTCTTTTCTTTCCCGTGCTGCTGGTCTGGGAAGCCTGATGTGGTTCCTCCAGCTTTAATGTGTGTGCAGGCAGCAGTAGTGCCAAGGTGAAGGATTTGGGCTCTGGGAGCTCTTGGTGTTGTGACTGAGGGGGTGATAACCCTTTGGACTTCTACGAGGGTGTAGTAGAGCTTCTTAGTTCCTCCAGCAGGTTGTCACTGAATTTAACAGAGGTAGAAACAAGTCAGGAGCAGGAGGGGGATGTGTCTTGTGAGGAGTGGATGAGGGAATGGTGGTGGTTGAGTCTGGAGAAGAGGAGGCTGAGGGGAGAACTGGCTCTCTACACCTTCCTAAAAGGAGGTTGGAGTGAGGTTGGGGTTGGTCTCTTCTTCCAAGTAATCAGCAATAGGATAAAGGGAAATGGGCTGAAGTGCCCCAGGGAGGTTTCAGTTGGATCTTAGGAGGAATTTCTCTCCTGGCAGAGTGGTGAGGGACTGGCCCAGGCTGCCGAGTGAGCTGCTGGAGTCACCAGCCCTGGAGGGGTTCAAAAAACGTGTGGACGTGGCACTTGGGGCCATGGTTTAGTGGCTGTGGGAGTGTTTGGCTGATGGTTGGACTTGATGATCTTCGAGGTCTTTTCCAACCTTAATGATTCTAAGGCTTCTTAGTTTCTCCAGTAGGTTGTTGCTGAATTTAGTGGAGGTAGAACTGAGCCAGGAACACGTTAGCAGCTTGATGGCTCAGCTGGAAACTCCAACAGCCTCCCCACTTTTGCTCTCTTGGGTGTTGTGTGTCACTGGGGACAGAAGGACCCACATGGATGTTACCTGTGCTTGTGGAAGAGGATGTGAGAGAGAGAATTTAGCAGAGCCAGTGCAGCTTGAGGGTGCCTGATGGGTGGTGATTAAGGAGCAGTGTTTGTTTTGGTCTGTGTTGGGGACTGGGCCAGGGGCTCACCACCCTCACTGTGGTTTTGTGGCAGCTTTCATGCTAGGTTTTGATGTTGTCTTTCTTTTCCTGCCTTGTGCTTTTTCTCATCTGCTCAGACAGCACACTCACTGAATGCAGGACTCTGTGGTGTTCACTACCTGCTCTGAGTCTCAGCTCTGCAGAGCTCTGGGCCTGAGAGAAAATAGCTCAGTGCTGATGGAGTAAATATAATTAACAACAGTGGCCTCACGGGGCTGTGGGTGGTCCCTAAAAGATGTGAACTTAATTACTCTGCCCCAGAGCAGGAGAAGAGCCTGTAAATGTTCAGGAGGTCTTGGCTTATTCTTAGCAACCTAGTCTCTGCTGATAATCCATCACAGTACTCTTGTTTTCATTTCTGCAAGGACTTTTGAGGTCTTTAATCAGTCTTCTGGGCTACAACTTAAGCCTGTTGTCTTGTTGTATCCTGTGGCCACAGGAAGAGATAATTCCTGTCCTCTCTGCAGCAGCCCTTGCTGCCTTTGAAGGCTGTTACCACACGTCCCCTCCAGGCATCTCCTCTTTAGACCAGACAACCCTCATTTCATTCCCCCCAGCCTTTTCATTTCAGTGGTTTGGGCTCTGGTCACTTTTATTGTTCTCCTCTGGATTCTCTCAGGTGCCTGTACAGCTGACACATGCTCCAGTTCAAGCTGGGATGAAATCTCAGAGCTTTAAAAAGAGAAACAGCCAAGATGTAGGCAGCTAGAGCCCAGTGCAGGTGGTAGGAATGAGGCTGGGGGTTTTGAACCTTCTGGAGTCAAGTTTAACCTCCCTAAAGCTGCCAACGTGATAATCTGTGGTAGGGAGAAACATTCCCACTCTTCCAGTTGATGATCCACTTTAATTCACTTCCATCTCCTTGAACTTTCATTGTGGATTGTCTCACTGGTGTGCTGCCCTGAGTCTTTTTGGCTCTGGGTTGCCATTGTAATACAAATTGCTGCTCTTAGATTAAAATAGGTGCTTTTGCTGGTAAGAAAAGAGTCATTTATTACCAGCACATGCTTATTAGGTAGAATGGATGGTGGTTTTGTGGTAATAACAGGCTGAAGGAGTGGGAGAAAGGATCCAGGTGGGAGGGAAGAGGTGGGGATTAGAGGAGTTTGCTTCTGTTCTAAGACAAGGATCTGGTGCTTGCAAAACAAAGACTCCCAGTTTAGCAAAAAATAAGTATGGCTTTGAAATGTTACAACTGAGGCAATCTAAAGAACAACTGCTGCTGAAAAGTGTGTTCCTGCTCTCCTGTCCTTCACCAGTCCCTTGGTGCCTTGCCTGACCCTGGAGTGAGTTGTTCTGAAGGATTAAAGTGGCAAGAAATGGTTAAGGGGGTGAAGAAAAGAATCCTTGAGGTTGGCTTAGCTGCCCAGTGCCTGGAGGGGTGAAACAATCTGCTTACAGCCTGGTGACAGAGTGAAGGGTGTGCTCTGCTCAGGTGACAAACCACCTCTGGGAGTGGCAGACAGTTGTTCTTAATCACCACGTCTTAATTTCCTCAAGGCCATCCTGTCATGTGAGGCAGATGGAGAAAGACCAGGAGCATCCAGCAGGTGAATTCTTCATTCTCTGTGAGTTCTAAAACATGCAGCCAAGGATCACATCCTTGCCCTGGGCACTTCCATCATCTTCTCTTGAGGAGGTAGCCAAAGCTGCCTTAGGCATGCTGGGATTAGAAGGCAGGAAATAAAGCCAAGGCTTCTGAAGCTTTATAATGAGATTTGAAAGATGGTATTTTAGCATCATTGGCTTTTTAGTTTTCCACTCTGTTCAGATCCTAGAGCCTGCTGCAGCAAGGAGGAACCACCAGCAAAAACTCCTCAGCCAGTCCTGTTGCACCAGGCCAAGGAGGCGATCGAAGCAGAGGTAGGAATTTGAGACCCCTTTCCTCTGAGATGCCCTCACCTTCCAAGCTCATGGCACCTGGGAGCTGTAGCACCAAGGGGGGATGCCATGATCTATAGAAATGGAAATCAGCAGCTAAAACTCCTGCTTTGCTTTGGCTGCTCGACCTAGGGGGAGATGTCGGAGCTGAGCGACGAGGCCAGTGAGTCGGAGCTGCTGAGCTGCAGCCTTTCCATGTGGCACGGGGCTGGTCAGATGCTCTGTCGGGAGGAGCTGGACGTTCCCCTGGACCTGCACACAGCCTCCTCTGTTGGCCAGTATGAAGTGGTGCAGGAGTGCATTCGGCGGTAAGGAGGGGCTGGGAGGGCCGGGGGTGGTGGCTACTGCTTGCCAGTTGTGGATTTGCACTGGCTGCTCTACAGATTGGCACGTTGCTGGAAGTCCCAAAGGGTCTTTGGGCCCAAAGTTTCAAGGGGAAGTCTACTCATGAAAAAAAAAATCTCCTTAGTGATTTGGTGGCAGTTGTGCTAGAGCTGGTAGGAATTCCCATGCAGGCTTCAGTGCTATTGTTTTCAGCCTGCTTCCAATATAATTATGGTAGGAAGAGGCTGAAGGATCTACAACTCCAAGCCAGTAATTCAGCTGAATTCTCTTCTGTTATTTAGTGGAGATCTGGATTTAAACAAGAGGAACTGTGGTGGCTGGACTCCACTGATGTACGCCTCCTACATCGGCCACGACACCATTGTGCACTTGCTGCTGGAGGCAGGAGTGAACGTGAACATCCCCACGCCAGAAGGGCAGACTCCACTCATGCTGGCCTCCAGCTGTGGCAATGAAAGTGTGGCTTACTTTCTTCTGCAGGTGGGTGTCCATCATAAAGAGGTGAAGCCTCACGACCTGGTTTCAGCATGCAGGGCAGGATCCTCCTCCACCCAAGCGTGCTGTTTGTGTTTGGTTGCAAGTTCAGCTTCCTGACTGGGATTTAAGCTCTCTCGGTGAGCCCAGCAGGAGGGGAAGCAGTAAAGCACCTTCTCTGTTCTCTTGAAGCAAGGTGCAGAGCTGGAGATGAAGGATATTCATGGCTGGACTGCCTTATTTCACTGCACCAGCGCCGGACATCAGCAGATGGTCAAGTTCTTACTGGACAATGGGGCCAATGCCAACTGCAAGTAAGGAGGAATCTGTCATTTCCTTTCTCAAAAGATCTCATTTCAGAGAGGAGAGCAGCAGTTGAGGTATGAACACATTCAAACACAGAGAGGGAGAAGACTCCTGCTTTGCCTTTCCTCCTGTGCTGGCTCTGTTAGTGAGGCCAGGTGACCTGCAAACAGTGAAGTCTGCCTGTGTTGTCAGTGTTTATTTACCTGAGATCAAGAAAAATCAGATTTACTGCTTGCTTAATTGTGAACTCAGCTCTGGAAACAGACAGATGCCATGCCTTCTGAACTCCAGTGTGCTTCACAAGTCTTTCTATTGAATTTCCTGTGCACTTGGAGTTGGTTTGGCTGTTCTGAAGTGCACAGTGCATTCCTGTGCCTTGGGAACTGCCTCTACATTGATGTCTATTGAATTGCCTGAGGTCAACGAGAGGTTCTTGCTTTGTTAGCTCCTGCAAAACTGATTTTGCCACTGAAAGGCAGATCCACGACTGGAAGTGTAATCTGTTGCTGTGCAGCTGGTGGAGTAATGTTTACTAAATCTCCACTGGGAGTCTTACTGAGATAGACCAGAGTGCAGTAGAACAGCCAATATGTGCTAGAGTTTGTGTTCAGCTGAGGGCAGAGGCTGGAGATGCCCTGTCAGAGTCTGGCAAAGCCCATGGCACCTCTCAGCTTGGATTATTTTAGTGCTGTGTGTGTTTGTTCTCTCTCTAGGGAGCCAGTGTATGGATATACACCTCTGATGGAAGCAGCTGCTTCTGGCCATGAGATCATTGTTCAGTATCTTCTCGATCAGGTAAGTGTTAGAGCTGAAAATCTGTGTGGCTCCAGCCCTCAGATAAAGAACCACAAGACTGACATGAGACTTTTTATTACTACATTTGATCCTTGATGACAGTCACCTCTGAAGTCCCAGACTTCCAGGACTGCTCTCAAAGTACCTGCTTTCTTGAAGGCTGGGATTCTGATCCTTGCACAAGTAGGAGTGAGATCCAGACTTAACACTGAGTTATAAAGCAGCTGAAGCATTAATATCTACCTGATCTTTACAGACTTGTGTGCTCGAGCTAGAGAGCATCTTCTCCCTCCAAAAGCTTGTGAGCATGCATGCCTCCTCATCTTAATTTGTTCTTAATATATCTCATTGAACTCATCCAGCTCACTTCCAGAAGGAGGCAGCAATGCAAAACATTTTTCAAATAAAAGAAACTCATTCCCCATGGCAGCACACAAGAGCTGTGTACCTGGGCTCCTTGGTGTCTGGGGAGACTGGGTAACTGGAAAGGCAACAAGGTATTAGTGGAGCTTGAACTGTGTCAAAGGTGAATTTGTATTTCTGATGGAGGCACTAAGACAATCCTTTGGCTTCTTTGGTATTTTTTTTATAGAGTACCCTCTGGTCTATATGTTTTCAATGTATTTTTTCTGAAGGGAGTGAAGGCAGATGTCAGAGATAACACTGGAGCCACAGCACGGGCACTGGCCATGAAGTATGGACACACCAAGATTGTGGGGCTGATAGATCTGCATGCAGCCCCAGTGCCCAAGGTCTTCTGCAGGGGGCCAGGTAACAGAGGTTTTTGCCTTGTTCATTTTAAATAGAAGCTGAAGAGAAGCACTTGATGTTTGGAATGTGTGTTTCTGTGGGGGGTGGGTAGTACTAGCTGGTCTATCCTGGTAATTCCAGCACTTCTCAGGATGGCAGAGGTGTGCATCCAACAATTTTGTCTCCTGGCCTTTTTCTGAGCTGGCTGAACTGTTGCACCCTCCCTCTGAACATTTAATTTTTTTTTTTCTGCTGCATTTGTAGGACCAGTAGCAAATAAAGTAGCTGAAAGAATTACTCTGCTGCTAACAGTCTGTGTTTGAACTACAGGGAAATACGAAGAGCTGAGTTCCTCAGATGAATCATCTTCTGCTCCCCAGAGGCAGAGACCAGCTCGTAGGACCAAGGGTCCCAGCATCCACGATGGGCCCCAGGCTTTGGCTAAGATAACAGCAGTTGGAATTGGGGGAAAGAAGCAGTCTCGCTGTGGTGAGCAGAGTTAGAAGCCAAACTGAGAGAATCCTTTGAGGTTTCAGGTGCATTGCAGCTGTTTCTGTGCCAACATTTATCCTTCTTTGCTGGGGATTTGTGTGGTCTGTACAGAAGTGAACACCATAATGCAAGGCTGTCCAATCTCTGGTTTAAAAAGTTCTCCTTGCAGGGAACAAACACTTCTCTTACCACACTTACTGTTCCCCTGGCTCCTGAGGAGAGTCCAGCTTCCTTTTTTGAGGTAGGCTTAAAAGTTTGAGAACCCTCCTCAAGCTGATGGCAGAGTGGTCATCACACAGGCCAGGAGATCATTGATCAAAGTGAACCTGCTGCTCCCAGACCTGTCAGTTTTGTCATCCCTGCTGCTTGAAATGAGGTTACAAAACCTTTGCAATAGGCCAAGAGAAAGATGATCCCAGTTCAGACATCAACCCCTGGAATCACTGGTATGAGTGTTTTTTCTTGTGTGTCAGCCAGAGATATTTCAGCTGACTCCCTTGTCTAGAAGCACCAATATGGACTTCAGAGCATGTTCAAAGTTCACTTTAGTCTCTTAATGAAGAGACATCTTGTCCCACAGGCATCAGAGTGATACTGTCAGCTTCTGAAAGGCTGGTGGGATGCTACCTACCAGTGTCTTAACACTGCTGCAGAGGGGCTGGTTTGGCAGGGTGTGCTTGGCTGGGGATGCTGTGTAGCTGGCACCTTGCTCTCCTTTTAAGGAGATGTTTTTACCCCTTTTAATTTGGGTATGGAGAGGAGAGGTTGAAAGCTGCTGTTTAAGGTGCATGAGGCTGTTTCCTCAGACTTTTTTTTTCATCTAGGTGAAGTACAGCTGATGTGTTGGAGTGAGGGAGGCTGGAGATGGATCCATCTCCCAGTTCTCTGCTCTTGAGAATGAAATCTAGTTGAGAAGACACTCCCTCTTTTTGCTTATTTTCAAACCCCCAAGTGGCTGCTTTTCCTGCTGGAGCCTCCCTGGTAACTTGCATCCTAATCTTTGTTCTCTCTCCCTCTTGCACACAGAGCAGGTCCCTCCTCAAGGCTATGTGACCTTCAATGATGATGGCAGTGGTGAGGCAGGGGACATCCGCAACCGGGATGTCACCTCTCCAATTAATGAGCAGGATGTGGAGAGCAGCAGCAGCAGAGGTGGGTCCCTGCCTCAGAAAACAGCCTGCCTTGCAGTGCACAGCTGGATGTGTGACCAGCCCCTTGCCTTCTGTGTTCCCTTCCCACTAAGGGGCTGAGGGTTGGGGTGTCTCTCATGAGGGAGCTGGGAGGGTTGAGTCTAAGGCTCAGTGTTTTCCTGCTGGAGCCTCCCTAATCCAGAGGGAGGGTGTTAAAAAGGTGGAGTGAGGCTTTTGTCAGTAGTGTCCAGTGACAGGACAAGAGGCAACGGGCACAAACTGAAAGAGAGAGGTGGCTCCCTCTGAACATAAGGAAATGGGTTTGGTTTTTTTACTGTGGGGGTGACTGCACACTGAACCTGCTGTGGGTGACCCTGCTAGAGCAGGGACCCTGCTGTGGGTGACCCTGCTTGAGCAGGGATTTGGACATAGATGACCTCCAGAGGTGCCTTCTGACCACAGCACTCTGTGAAGCAGCACAACAGAAGGACCTAGGGGCAGTTCCTAAATGAATAATGTGGCTGTGCATTTGCTCTGAGCTCAAGGAAAGGCCTTTCCTGAACCTTTCCTGGGGGTGCAGGCTTGGAAGTAATAACCCACCTTTCAATCCCATAACCAAGAACATCACAGAAACACACACACACACTCAGCCTTCCTGTTCTGTGTGGTAATAAACAGACTTGGAGAAGGGTTAGTGCCTGGGATCAGACATGGGATTTGTCTCAGATTCACCCTGAGTGCTGGATAGGAAGGCTGGATCTGGGTTTCTCCTTCCTTTAACCAGCAAAACCTGTTGGAATTGTAACTGTGTAGCAGAGACATCATGGAATGTAAGAAAGTTGAACCTCAACCTTGTTTTTCCATATTCCTTTCCAGAAGATAATGTTTTCTTCACCAACAACTTGGGAACTGTCAGGAGCAGCAGCAGTAGCAGTGAATGCCTGACCAAAGCCCTGGGGGTCAGCAGTGAAGGCTCCTTGGAAAGCAATGAGGTGGGCTTTTCAGTTTGCCTTTCTCTGCCTTCAGCTTGGGCAGTGCTGTCACCCCTTCCACAGCCTGCTGGGACTTGAGGCTGTAGTACCAGGCTGGGTGAGGAACAGTGGCATTACAGGGGCAAAAAAACCCACACAATTTCCATATTTGAAGATTATGGCTTGGCTTGTTTGAGCTCCAGCTTGTAGCCAACTCTCAGAGGACATTTGCTGTAGAACAGGTTGTTGGTGGCTAGTCTAATTAAGTTCTCTTCAGCTTCTGAGCTCTTTGGAGACTTCTAGCTAGTTGGTGGTCAAGAGAGGATGTGAGTTGCCAGACCTGAGTCATCCTTGAGCTTGGTGAGGTCACAGGCAGTGTAACAAGATGCAGAGAAACCACAGCAGCACTGCATTGACCTTTCTGAAGTACAGAACTGGGGAGGAGGTTGGAGGTCACTCCATGGCTCCACCATCCCTCTGAGGCTGATGTGCAGAAGGGTGATGGTGCTGAGCACGAGCAGAAGTCCTTTGTGTCTTGAGGAGCTTCTCCCAGGGAGAATCTCAGTGCAGTGGATTAGTTTGGGGGGATTCAGCATTGCTCTTTGCTCTGGCATGCTGCTCCCTAAGCTGGGATTGCAGAAGCCTGGTACAATTCCATGGGACCAAGCTGCCATCCTGGAGTGACTCCACTCAGCCCTCCCCCAGAAGGGATTTGTTGGTCTTGTGTTGCCTCTTTGTGGAGCAGTGCCTGGATCTAGAGCTTGGGACTTGCAGTCTGCACGTGTGAGCTGTAGTCATCCTGACATCTCTGTGTGATCATCCTTGACCTTTACACTTTTTGTGGGTGTTTTTTGTTTCCTTTTTCAGGATTCTGACCATGCCAACAGCCCCCCTAGTCGGAAACAAGCCAAGAGCTTTAAGAGCAAGAACCGCTACAGCAACAGCGACAGCCAGTGGACCCACTGCCTGGGCAAGGCTGGGGGCTCTGCTCAGCACCTCATCCTCCCTGAGCCCCCTGCCTACACAGGACCCCAGGTACCCACACACAGAGCTGCCTCTCAAGTCCTGCAGACTGTTGCTGCATCACGTGGGAGGTTTTTCTGTGGTGGCCAAAGCTGCTTTCTTGGGTAAAAGGGAAGTGGTCACCAAAACACCTTTGATCCCAAACCTTTGCCTAAACTTAAACACTTGTGAAACAGTAATTTCTTGAACAAAGAACTGCTTGCTTAGGTGTTGCTTTTGCTTGGAGGGGTATTCTAGCCCCTTTGAGAGCACACCCACAGGCCCAAACACGGCTGTGGTGTGGGCTGGGGTAGATGTTGGTGTGTCTCTCTCCTGCATTTGTTACAAGAGGCAGTGGGTGCAGCAGACAGGCCAGTCCAGGGGTGTGGTTCTGGAGAAGGGGCAGTTTTTTGGAGGTAGTCACAGTTGCTGCAAGAACCCAGGAAGAACCACACCAGCAACGTGAGGAAGCAGATGCTTCTGGTGAAGAGGAATGCTTTTGTTGGAGGGTATAAATAAGTTTGTTTTGGATGGGCTGCAGGACCTGGCAACGTTCCTCGAGCAGATTGGGTGCCTGAAGTACCTGCAGGTGTTTGAGGAACAAGACGTTGACCTCAGGATCTTCCTGACCCTGACAGAGAGCGACCTGAAGGAAATCGGCATCACGTGAGTGCCCGTAACACAACTCCCCCCTTTCCTCTTGCAAGCCACGACACAACCAGGTCAGGAAAGTCCAACTAGCGAGTGCTTTTCTATCTGGCTGTCTCCCACACGATTTAGCAGTGAGTTTGCCATTCTCTCACCAGTCTCTTTGGGCCAAAGAGGAAGATGACTTCAGCCATCGCCCGCTGGCACAGCAACGCGCGCCCGCCCAGCGACGCCCTGGAGCTGGCCTACGCCGACCGCCTGGAGGCTGAGATGCAGGAGCTGGCCATTCAGCTGCACAAGGTGAGGGCTCTGCCTTCAGCTGCTCCTTAGAGTGCCTTAGCACCTCACAAAATGGCATTAGCAGCTTGGGTTTGTTGTGGCTCTAACGAGGGAACTACTGGAGAGAGGCTAGCGGGAGGTACGGAGGTGCTGAGGGGCTGGAGCATCTCTGTGCCAGGCCAGGCTGAGAGCCCTGGGGCTGTGCAGCTGCAGAAGAGAAGCCTCAGAGGGGATCTGATCAGTGCTGAGCAAGAGCTAAAGGGCCCCGGGGGGCAAGAGGCTGGGGCCAGACTCTGGTCAGTGGGGCCCAGGGACAGGCCAAGGGGCAACGGGCACCAACTGGAACCCAGGAGGTGCCACCTGAGCAGGAGGAGAAACTTCTTTGGGGTGAGGGTGCAGAGCCTGGAGCAGCTGCCCAGAGAGGCTGTGGAGTCTCCTGCTCTGGAGAGATCCCAAACCCTCCTGGCTGTGACCCTGGGCACCCTGCTGTGGGTGAGCTGCTGGAGCAGGGGGGTTGGAGGAGATGATCTCCAGAGGTCCCTTTCAACCCCACCATGCTGGGGTTCTGTAGTGGCCTGGGATAAAGGAAAAGACACAACTTTCAGTGGACACACTTGGTGCCAGGCAGATCAGGTAACACCATAGGTGCTGCTTCCCCACTCCTCATCCTCTGCTTGTGTGGCTTTTGTTTCCCATCTGCCTGAGAACTCAAAGGGCCAGTGGGAGGAACTGAACACCTGCTCTTTTTTTTCACTAGTGTTGTTCTTATGGTGAAGTTGGGTGGCCATTGGCAAACAGACTTCTGTTGATTTGGGAAATTTGGTCTTTATAAATGGAGAGGAAGGGGGATTGCAACTGTGGGGCTGAGCTTGGTGTGGGAAGAAACTTTGTGCAGTACCTGAGCCTTGTCCAGCTTCTTTTCCCCCTGGGTTGGGTGCATTTTTTGCAGCACCCCTCTGCCTGCCTCAGCCATTAAAGCAGCAGGGACTCTGGGGGTGTGCCAGAGGAGGCAGGTGAGTGATGTGCACAACTCCCAGCCCAATCCCCCCTTCTGCTCTGCTGCAGAGGTGTGAAGAGGTGGAGGTGCTGAAGGGGCAGGTGTGCCAGGAGCAGAAGCTGCGTGCAGTGGCTGAGAGCTGTTTGATGGAGAGGGATGAGACCTGGAATGCCATCCAGAGCCAGCTCAGAGAGGCTCAGGCCATCACCAAGGATGCTGGAGTCCTGCTGGATCAGATCAAGTAAGTTATTCCCAGGAAATGGCAGCAAGGCTACTGAGAGATAGGGTTGGGGCCATACAGAGATCACAGGTCTTACTGGCAGTCTTAGAGGTGGTGTTTAGGGTAAGGCAGGAGAGCTCACCAGGCATCTGAACCTATTTTGGATCCTGCCTTTCTCTAGGGAAAGCTACAGGCATGGGAGCAGAGGTGAGGCCTTGGTCAGATGCACAAGCTCTAGATGTCCTGACTTCTCAGAGGTGCTTCAGCTAGAAGGAACCAAAGGGCTACATGAGACCTAGTGACCAGGCTATAACTTGGTGACTAGGTGAATGCAGGAAAGGGTTTCTAACTTGTAAGTCTCAAAGGATTTGGGATATCTTGGCCTGGCTAGTGAAGAACACTTTTCTTGCAACCCAGCAGGAAAACCTGCCCTGTTCTTTCACACCTTTGAGTTCTGCTTTCCCCTACCTCCTAATATACCTCTTGTTGCTTTTGTGGTGCTTTTTCCCTGCCCCAGCTAGACTCCTGTCAGGCCCTGTTCTGTCCACTGATAGAACAGACAAGGCCTTGAAGGTGCCATGAATCCTCCTGCTTACAGACCCTATTGTGGTGCTTTTTCCCTGCCCCAGCTGGACTCCTGTCAGGCCCTGTTCTGCCCACTGATAGAACAGACAAGACCTTGAAGGTGCCATGAATCCTCCAGCTTACAGACACCAGCCCTGCAGGGGGTGGTGCCCACTCACTGCCAACCCGGGCTGGGCTGGGCTTCCAGGACAGCAGAGCAACACTCCGTGCTGTGAGGGGCACAGCACTTGGGTTTTTCCCTCCCTCACTGAGGAGCTGAGGCTGCCATGCCCTGCTGGAGCTGATGGGAGGATGATGATGATGATGATGGCCAGAGAGCTTGGTGTGCCTCTCATGCTCTAGCCCAAGGCCCATCCTGGGGTCGCTTCCTTTGCCCGCTTCAGACCTTGCGTCAGGCTCGATTCTCCCGTGAACCAGGCACACCCCCTGGCTCAGCCTTCCTCCTGCTCCCCCTGCCCCCTCCTCTTCTCCCCCCACAGCTCCTCTGTGGACAGGGGCAGAGATTGCTGTGGAGTGGGGCTTTGCCTGGGGAACGTCTCCCTCTGCCTGGGAAGGAGCAAGGAGCAGTCTGTAACCCAGGGCGTTAGACACGCTCCCTCGGCACCCCACCTGGGCACTTGCAGGACAGAGGAGAGCACGGCCTGGCACCTTGTTCCAAGTGTCCCTGGGGCACTCCTGAGGGGCTTTTTGTTTGGCAGGTGCTGCCAGGCAGAGCTGGCCTCCAGGCTGGCCCCGGAGCAGGCGGGTGGCAGCGTGCTGGGCACCGAGGTGCAGCTGGGAGCCGGCGAGAGCAGGCGGCCTGGTGAGCCCCCAGGTGAGCAAGAGCTTGTCCACCTCCAGAAATGGGTGCCAGGGGGGTGGGTGGGCACCAGGAGAGCCCAGAACGAGCCACGTGCTGAAAGGATGAAGTTGGAATTGAGTTGGAAATGGAGCAGCCTTTAAATCTCATGGAAAAATCCTTGCTCGGGGAAGGCACTTAAAGCACTCGTGGTGTTTGGACTTGTTAAAGCTTCTCAGCCACTTTTGGTTTGTAGAAAATGGGGAGTTTTGGGGTCTGGCAGGTGTTTGTGGCTAAAAAAACCTGGGTGGGTTTGGCCCCACCAGCTCCTCATCGTGAGGAGTTAGCAAATGATCCTGCTGCCTTTCAGAGGTGGGCCCTTTGCTGCTTGTGTGTTAAGTGAGAGGAGTAGAGATCCTGCTGATTTCTGTCCATCCCACTTCATCTCTTTGAGATTTTTAGCAGATGACCCAGCCAGTATAAAAAACAAATGGATTCTAACATGGTAGGATTGCCAGGAAACCCCCTCCAGTTTGTCACAGGCAGTTCCAGCTCCCTTCCCACAGGACTCAGACCCCTGAGTGGAGCTGCTTTGGGTGTGGATGCTTCACAGCAGCACCAAACCCTCATCTCCCCTCTGCTGCTGGGCACGCAGGTTGACTGGGAGTGTGGCTCCTCTCTCTTGCAGTGCTGGAAGGATGGCCACCTTCCCTGAACTCCCTGAGCTTGCCTGAGCTGTCGGCTGTCCTGGAGGAGTGTGTGGGAGAAATGGGTGAGTTTGGGGAAGACTTTGGGCACATGAAGTTGACTTGGCAGTGGCAGTTTGGGGGGAACCTAATGACCCCCTCATCCAGGGGGGTCTCCAGGCTCTGAAGTGGGTGCTGGTGGTATTTTTGCACTTTCTCTCAGTGCAGATCTTGGGCTCTGCCTCACCCTCTGCTGACAGGTCTGGGCTGAGAAGGGGATGTGTGAACCCTGCACCTCCTGCTCTGTGGGCAGAGCTGCTCGTGGAGCAGTTCCCAAAGCCTGTGTCCTGGGCTTCTGGTGACAAGAACTTGTCCTGGTAGCAGCAGGCAGTCAGAGAGGGGACACACTCCTGGCTTTGGGGTGCTGGCAGCCGCAGGGGAGAAGGCAGCAGAGAGGCAGGATGACAGCAGCCTGTTCTCTGGCCTGGTGCTAACAGCTCTCTCCCTTTGGTTTGTCCTCAGGAAAAGCTCTGCAGACTGTGACTCAAAACCTCCAAAGGCTCCAAGCCCCGGGGCAGAGCAGGCAGGGCTGGTTAGAGCCATAACACAGCAGGAGGGTGAGTGGGGAGCTGGTGGCAGCCACGGGGGAGCTGTGGCGTGGGGAGGGGGACACAATTCCTCACAGCACACAACAGCCATCTGCTCCACGTTCTGCTCCAGCTCGTGTGCCTTCTGGGTGGTTTCCCTTGGGGGAAAATCCTTAGTCCTGTTGTCTGTGTCCCCTGGGAAGGGTGACTGTCCCTCTTTCCTGGTGGCTGCAGGAATACTGACGTCGGGTGACACTTCCACCCGGAAGCTGAGTGTGCCTGGGAGAGTGAGCGTGAGGAGGGAGCTGGCAGCACTGCAGCTCTGCTGAGGCTGCCCCAGCACCTGCTGGACCTCTGCAGGAAGGTCTCAGCCGTTGGAGAACGTGCCTGGGAGAAGGAGAGGCAGCAGAAGGCAACAACCCAGCTGCTCTTGGGGCCTGGCTGTCGGCTGGCTTCCCAGGATGACTGCAGCAGAAGGTTAAGAGGAGGAGCACCCAGCCCAGAGGTTTCGTCTGCCTTAAGCTTCTTCCTGCAGCCCTTGTCAGTCAGGGCTGTGTGGTGTGAGGAGGATGACACTGGCCTACAGCAATCATCATTTTCTGGTATCCTCTCTTCCCTAAGGTCTCTGACACTTGCTCTGGTTCCTTCTATGCCAGCTGGATTGGCACAAAAACCACATCTTGGCACAGACCCCCAGAAAAAATGTATCTGAGGCCGTGAGGAAGGTGGGTTTGTTGTGGGTGGGTGAGGAGAGGAGAGTATTTGGCTCAAGCTGCAGTGAGGCTTGTGCAGCCCTGCTCCCTAGCTGGGATGTCTGCTCCACTGCTATCCCAAAACCTCCCTCTCCAGCCAGCCCACCCTGGTTTGGTTCAGAGTCTCTCCCCCCTCAGGGGTTGGTTGTGAGGGTTCAGTCTGGAGGACTCGTTTTTTGTGGTCAGTGCTTTATGGCAGAGACTGTCTGGTTTGGCCATGCCAAGGTCCCAACACTGACAGCAGCTGCAAGGCAGATGTTCCTCTGGAAGGGCATGAGAGAGAACAAAGCTTGAGAGCCCCTTGTGCCTCTGGCAAGCTGCAGAGTGCCAGGGCAGGAAGAACAAGAACTGAGGGAGGGATCTGTCCCACGTGGGGGATGGGCAGGAGAAATCTCATCCCAGATGGAGCTGTGGTGCAAAGCTTTGGTCCTCAACCACTGCCTGCCTTTCCTTGCCAGGCTTTGGTGTTTGGAAATGGTTCTGCTGAGGCAGTCTTGTCAGTGTGGGTGTTCTCTGAGGGTGCAGGGAGAAGCTGCATCCCCAGACACTGCTCCAGCTCTTGGAGCTGGGTGAGCAGCCACAGGGGTGCTGGGGGCAGCTCTGGTGGTAAAAATGGGGAAACCCCCAACAAACAACAAAACCTGAAGTGTGAGTGATGGCCTTGAGTCTGGAAAAGTCTTTGGGAAGAGGAAAAAACCATCTAGCTCTGTCCTTGGAGCTAGTCACCCCTCCTGACTAGCTGCCCAAGACCACTTAGGCAGCCTTGAAAGCCAGTCTGTGGTAAAGGTGGCATCTGGTTTGCCTGTGCCACTGAACTGCTGTGTCTGTGCTCCCTGGGGGCAGCTGTGGGGCACCGTGGCAGGTCCTAGGGCCCCTGCTGCTCTGAACCTGCCCTGCTGCCACTCTCTGCTCCTGGTGAACTCTGAAACTTCATCTGACCCTCTATTTTATCTCTAGCAAGTGACACGGGGGTGTGCACGTGGGCACCTGGTGCCAGCTCTGCAGCAGGACAGGGCTGGGGGAGGTGTCCCCCTGAACAATCAGTTTGGGTGAGGTGAAGCCAATTCTACTAAGGCAGCATCCCTGAAAGCTTCCCAGAGGGTTGAGGTTGTGCTGGGAAGAGTATTCTCAGCTTTGTCCTTCCCTGGTGCTGGGGGAGGGAGGGTGGGCAGTGCCAGGGCAGTTGGCACCTCCCTCTCCCTAGCCTTAGAGTTGTGGAGGGGTTTGAGTTGGAAGGAACCTTAAAAATCATCCAGTTCCTTGGTGCTGTCTGAGGCTGAGCTAATTCAGGCTCGTTAGGGCTGTGTCCCTTGGAAGCACAGATTTAAACCAAATTTAAAGCAAAATGTCTGAGGAAAGGGGAAAAATTTTCATAAAAGCCAAAAAAACTCCAGAAGTAGAAGTGCAAAGGCCTGGGGGCATCTGGAGAGCAAGGGGAGCTCTGGCCCAGCACTGCCTTCAGGGCTGGGGGGGCAAGGGGGGGCTAGAAGGAGAGACTGGGTGGGAGGAAGGGGTTGGGTGGGCTGAGATGCTGCACCCCATAGATGGTCCCACTTGGGGGGCTGGGGAAGGGGGTAGGACAAGGAGAGCCCCACAGAAAAGGTGCTGCAGGAGCCTGGATGAAAAGGCTTAAAGAGGTGCCAGAGTAGCCCCAGGGGGACAGGGGGGAGAGGATTTTGTGGAGCAGGGTTTCCTGGGGGAGCCAGTCCCTGGAGGGGAGGACTTGACAGGGTGTTGGTTGCTGAAAGGGTGGCTGTGCAGGGAGTCTGCTGCTGCCCTGAGGCAAACTGACTGAATAAAAACCCCTCTGCTGACTTGGATAAATAAACTAATAAAAACTGAAAACCTCTTTCTGATGTCCTGGTTTCTCTGGGGCCATAGACTCATGAATTAACCTCCCTGATTTATTTCAGGACAACTGGGGCTAGGTGGAATGCTGTCCAGCCTCCTCTCCAGGCTGGATGGGAGCTGGGGGGTCTGGGGCTCCCCTCCCTGGGCAGGTGATGTGGGAGCTCCTGGGGGCAAACAGAAGTTGCCTCTGCACTAATTCAGAACTGGGTTTAGGTCTTGTCAGGTTGGGTGCTGGGGTTTTCTCACCAGCTCTAGGGGGAGGTTGTTGTGAGCTGTGTGATTGCTTCTGTAAAGCTTCAGCCAACCTCTGATTTGGCACCAGGGAGGGGCAGTCACCGTTCAGCAGCTGGCACCAGAAGTTTTAGACAGGGCAACATAAAAATCAAGGGCTTTGGGAGCCTCTTTCATCCCCCCGGAGGTGGGGCTGTGTGTGCTCGGGTGTCAGTCTGTGCCCCCAGGGTGGACAGAAGCCCCGTGCTCTGCTTGCTGTGAAAAATAAACCTTTATTTACATCTGAAAAGAGAGTTAATGTGCAAAATGGTCTCACAGGGGTTACATCGATGCGGGAGAACTCCTGGCATGACTCTCCAGCCTTGCCCCCAGCTGCCTCTTCCCTCTCTGGCTGCCTCTTCCCTTTCTGGGCTTCAGGTGACCCTCCTGGAGCTGCAGCGGCTTGCTGGGAAGAGGAGCTCTGCAGGATGGCTCCGGGAGGGAGGGGTGGGTGGGAGCTCTCAGGGCGTTGGTGAGATGGTCCCTGGGAGCAGGGGGGTGATCTCTGGATCGGAGCAGTGCTGGCACGGCCCCGGGCACAGCAGGAGGTGGTGGGGCAGCAATGCCAGGCTGAGCAGCAGCTCCCCTTCCCTGCTGCTCCCTCCCCAGCACCGCCATCCCA